GGTCCCTGCGCTCGGCCCCGCCCCGATCCCCTCCCTCGCCGCGCACCAGAGTGCGAGTCGCCTTCCAGGCTGGGCCCGGCTTCTCCATAACCGGCAGCTCAGCTCACCAGGGAGACTCGGTGCACACACGCGCGCGCACACACTCGTGCAGGTAGGAGGTGAGGAACGACGGAGCAGGCTATGAGAAATGACCCTTGCTGTTCTCTAAAGTGAGAACATAACTTGGCTTCTTTGGCTGCTGTCAAATGGTTGCAACCCCTGAAAAGGGGATCTAGCTCAGTGGTGCGGCCGCCGGCAGCGCAAGCGCAAGATCTGGAGTTCGATCTGCAGTACCAAGGAAAAAAAAGAAAAGTTAACAATGTCAGGGTTACCGCTGCGAAGAACCTACCATACGTCCCGAAACTGCTTCGCGTGGTTCCTGTGTTTCACGAGGCTTTCCATGAAGTTGCAAAGTCCTGAGTGGCCTGTCCCCTCTGCTCCAGCCCGCACCCCAGACGCAGGGGATCCTTGGTCCTGGCACTCCCGCTAAGCCCCTTCTCCTGCGCTCCGAGTTTTCATTTCAGCGGATGGCCATGGCCGGGAGTGTCAGCTGGTCGGCTTGCTGGGCTCTGAGGGCCGCAGAGTCACAGGCATGGGCCTCCTAAATGAGCCCATGCTTAGCCCAGCTCCTGGGCTTTCTAAGGAAAGAAGGGAAAACTTATCTTTGACTTTGATTATCTATCTAAAAGACCAGTGCCACCGGCCTGGGGGCCCAGGGGCGTTCTCCAGGCGCTTTGCCCCTTAGTAGCCCCTGAAATGGGGTCGGGGGGTGCTTTCTGGAAAATGGATTTGGTAAAGACTTGGGAGAAGAGCTATCAAAATCTAACACGCACCAGTCTGGATCTACCAGAAATGCCTGGCCCCTGGGTACAGATACTAAAGAATGGTACATTGCCAAGCGCCTGTTAGCTCAGAAACGTTTCAGAATTAACTGCCCAGCTAGCACATCTGACAGTTCGTTAGGGAAATGTCTGCTCTGAGAGACGGTGTGACTGGGTCATGCATGCATTACTCCCTCTAATGCTGCAGGGTTAGGTTAGGGAGAGGCTGGCGAAGGAGGTCACAGGTGCCCTGCACGTTAAGGCTGAGAAGCCACTTCCTGTGGACCATGCTAAGTCACTAGGAGAGCTGCCATTCATGCCTGTTATTTCCCTGCACTTTGAGGCCAAGCTTGTTTCAGGAGACCCTGTGATCTTGGGCCTGATTTGGGGATTCTCACATAGGCTTTCCCCTTTCCTTTTCGAGTTCCAAACTGTGTGGGTGGCACTGGCCGGGGATTAAGCACTCACACAGAGCAGAATGTTTCAGTTCGCCAGGTGAGGGCTTGCAAAGTGAACTGCACTTTGACCGGAATTGATGGGCAATGCATGGATTGCAGGTGTGGCTTGCTCAACTTGCGGTCCAGGTTGACTTAACAACTGCAGGAACACCTGATAAAATATGGGGGTGGACAGGGGGCTAGGAGGGCAGGGACCCTTAAACCAGGTGTGTGTCCCAGGTGTGTTGACAGCCAGGTGGGGCATGCACTGATGAGGTGCCCGTTCTCAGGAAACACTTTCTCAACGTTAGAGAAGGACCTTGAAGGCTCATGTAAATGAGAAAGCATGGTGTAGGAAAGGGAAGAGCAGGAAGGAAGAACTAGGAGAGAGAGCAGAGAGTCTGTTGGGTGTGGGAAGGTTGTGGACCCGACACTAGAGTCTTGTGTGGCTCTGGGTGCTGAGAATTTCTCAGAATCTGAGGCAGGAAGTGTATATGCTGAGGCTTGGAGTGGCTTCTGGAGTCCTGAGAAGGCACTGAATCCTTCCTCATTCCAACAGCTTTGGGTGCGATTTCCTACACATGCATGTAGAGCACCTTGCTAAACTGTATTTTATTTATGAAAGGGGGTTAGGGTGCGTGCAGAACAGCGCTTTGGTGAGGATGGACTTGGATGACACACTTGCCGCGCTCTGCCCGCAGCTGTCCATGAATAGGAGCCTTCTGAACAGTGTTTACAGGGGCGCGCAGGTCACCACAGCTGTTCTTTGTCACCAGTGGACTCTTTGTGCAGTGCCCACACTGCCGGTGCAGCCCTGTGACCAGGACTTGGCTGCCTGGAGGGGTATGGTCCAGCGTGTCTAGGTGAAGGGGAAAGTCTCGTCAGTACCTCACTTACCACTGGTTCTGTCTCTGCCCTTGGTGGTCACCCGAATGTGAAAGTGGCCTTGGAAATGAAAGCCTTGCACATTTGTTAAATTTGTTAAAGACAAAGAACAGACTCCCCAGGGTGGGCTGGGCTTCTTCTGTGGGGGCTGACTGTGCCCTGGCCTCGGGCACTTCCTCGCAGGACAGGCTTGCACAGCCTTCCCCATCTCCTGGCCTCCAGGTCACCTCTGGCCTCCTGGGCACGTGCACACAGAGCTGCAGCCCCAGCCGTGCGGAGCACCTGTGTGCCACGCCGCTGTGTGCAGCCGGTACCTCCACACACAACTGGTGCGCATGGGCACCGCCGTGAGCAGTGCTCTCTGTGCCTGCCAAGTTCCGTGCTCCTCACACTCCTAAGTCTTCCAGGTGGCACTGTTCGTTCCTGACTCTGTGGTCCTTGTTTTTCTTTTCTTTTTCTTTCTTTTCTGGTACCAGGGATTGAACTCAAGATCTTGTGCTTGCGAGGCCGGCGCAGGGCCACTGAGTCAAATGCCTGGCCCTGGTTCTTGTTTTGTGACTTTCAATGTATCCTTTCCTATAAAAGAAGCTGAGTAACTAATAAAAAAGTAGATGAGAAGACTAATGACTAATGAAGTCCCCTTTTAACAATATATTTTCAAGTAATTTCAAACTTGCAAAAAAGAGGGACATGGTATAAAGAAATTCTGCATCCTTCTAGTTCAATTGTTACTATTTTATATCTGATATCGTAGATAGATACAGACAGATAGATAGATGTATATACAGGTATAGATATTCACAATCAACCAGTCAACACTCTCTTTCTGGGCTACTTAAGAACAAATGCAAACTTCACCCTTATCCAATCCAGAATACACCCTCCAATTGTGCCCCCAACAGGCGCCATGTAACACTGAGATGATACCAACAACCAGTCGGGAGAAGTGATTCAAACGTGGTGACTGTCTCCAAATTCTTTTCTTTCCTCCTCCTAGTCTGGCATCTATTACAGGACCATGAGTTACAGTTAGTTGCTGTTTCTCTTTATTCTTTTTTGACCTGTTGCTGCTGCTCAGTCCCTCTCCATCTGTCATGGTCATGATGTCTTTAGGTTGTCTTTCGATTTAAGTCCATCTGATATTTCTTCATGGTGGATCCCCGTAGTACATCCCTGTCTGGGACATCGAAGAAATTACGCTGGGCTCTTGACAGTGTGAGACCTTCAGAGGCCCCCAGTGTTTGTCTGTCCCATCGCTGCAACCTTGACCATAATGGGATTCTCCTATGTAAAGGAACCGTTTCAGCCTTGGTTATCCATAAGCATTCTGTAGGTTACAGGGAAAGCACACCAATATTGGGCCCCTCTTTGGGTCTTCACTCAAACACTTTAGGAGCCCTGGATGACTCTTTCTGAATCGTCTAATGGCAACTGCCCAGTGGCAACTGCTCACTTGCATCTCTCATGCATTTATTCGTGGTCAGTTTCCTATAAAGATTTTCCCTTCCCCACAGTTATTTACTTGCTCCAATCCAAATACCTATTCTATTCAGTGAGTTGCATTCTGGTGCTCTCACAACTTACTTGGATACCCAAATCGCCCAGATTTTGCCAGCGGGTGTGTCTGTGTCTCAGAACTGGTTCTGGGGCACCCTTTTACATTCCAGCACCTCAGAGAGTCCCAGCCTCACTGTGTACCTGCCTTGCTGAGTCTTGGATGAGCCCTCTGTCCAAGGAGCCACGGCCCCTCCAGTGAGTCTGGCATTGAGAAAAGAGAGCCGGCGTGCAGTGTGGGCACTGCTCCTGCAGGCCTCCCGGTGGCCAGAGCTGGGACTAGTGGTGCTGGTTCCCACGGCCACAAGTGCGCATCCACACCCATTTCTGTGTGCGCATGTCTGTATAAACCCATTTATGAATGTACACCTATCTGTATGGTGAGCTTACATCAGTTCCTCCAACCCTAAGCCTCCTTTCCGCATCTGTAAATCCCTTCTCTTGAGAGAAACCTGACTCCCGCGGCCCTGGTGTAAAGACTTAAGTGCTCCATCTGCCTCCTTGGAGCGCACTTCGGACCGTGTCAGCTGGTCAGCCACATCCTTCCTCTTGCACAGGCTGCTGCCTCTGTGGCCTCTCATCCCCTGGGCCCGGGTCCGTCACAGCCTCGACAACCTGTCTTGTTCCTCCTGGTTTTGCTGCTGCCCCCGAAGCTCCTGTCCATTCCTTGGCAATGAAAAGGCTTTTCTATCTTTGCAGTGGTTCCTGTCAAAATCCTGAAGTCATTCTCGATCCCTTGTCCCGCACCTGATCCATAGCCGGTTCTGTTCACTATCCTCTCACGGGGACCCCAAGCTCAACCCTTTCTCACCACCCCCACCTGTGTGGGTTAGGGGAACGTGACTTCCTCTTCCAACCATGGCAGCCACTCTGGGCCCACCCTCCCTGCCTCCTTCACCGAGACATAGTTGGCAGCCTGGCAACCTAAATGAGACTTGTAAAAATCTAACACTTCCAGATAAAAGCCCAGCCTTATCAGGTCTGCCTC